TTAACTTCTTTCCAGAGCACTATATGGGAGTTGTGACTGTGATACATTCAATATTAAGCAAGATTTAGTACTATCAGCCTTTCTAGTTTTGGCCATTCTAGAGCATAGCAGAAGTATCTCAATGCTCTTCATTAAATTTCTGTTTCTTTGTGGTATGCAGTACATTTGCCTGTGTTTAGTGACCATAAAATCCAGTTTTCTCACTATTAGAGTGTTTGTCTTTTTATTCTTGACTTGCGGGTATTTTTTATATATTTTAGGTTCAAGCCTTTGTCAGGTATATATTTTGCAAACATTTTCTTCTAAGGTGTGGACTGACTTTTCCTTTATAATGTCTGTCAAAGAGTAGAAGATTCTAATAAAACCTAGATGCGGGTGTCATTTCTGTATAGGTACTGGTCTCTCTTTGCTGAGAAATCACTGATACTTCCAAGTTGTGAAGATATTCTCCTCTGCTGTCTCCTAGAAACCACGTTTAGTTTTAGGTCGATGTTTAATTCCTAATTCATGACCACCTATTCAATGATTTATCTGCTCAAGCCTTAATTATTAAAGAGGATTTTTTTTTCTTGAATGATTAATTTTGTTGAAAATCGGTTGATTGTACAAATCGTATTTCTAAGCTCTTTGTTCTTTCCCTGTTCTATTAAACTAGCTTATGCAAGTACCATGCACCTTTATTATTGTAGCTTTGTATTCTCTGAAGTTAAGAAACCACTTTTCAATTTCAGTCAAAATATTATTTTTGTCATTCTGTGCCCATTATAGTTCCACATAATATTTAGAATCTGATTTTCATTTTCCATGAAAATGCTTGCTGATATAATTAAAATTTTATCGATCCAATGAATACATTATAATTGTACTGAGTACTCCAATCAATGAACATATCCGTCCATTGACTTAGATCTCTAGCCTAAATTTCAAATAATGCTTTATAATTTTTAGTGTACGTTTCTTAACTTTAAATTTATCTCTAAATATTTAATTATTATACTATCATAAATATCATTTTCTAACTGCTCATTGCTATTCGTATTATTTTGTTAGGATTTCCAATCAAGTTATCAAAGGCCAAGTGTCAGAAATTTATCTTCCCAAGGTTCCAGAGACTCACAGTTCAAGATTAAATTACCAGCAGGATTGGTTTCCTCTGAGGTCTCTGTCTTTGGGCTATAAATGGACCATGTTTTGCTTTCTTTCCATAGCACTGTCCCTCTGTCCCAGAGCATCTGCAGTATCTCATAGTGTAAAAATCTCTTCTTCTTTTAAAGACATAGTTAGATTGGATTAGGTCTCATTCTCAGGACTGTAAGGGCCTCTGTAAGAGCTCTTATCTCTATTTGGAGATACTAAGAATTAGGACTTCAACTCATAGCTTAGGTGAGACACAATGCAACCCATAACCCCAGTACAGAGACAGACAATAGACATTTGTATATGGCCATTCATGTTGTGATATTGTTCATTCATCTCTTAATTTTTGAAGTTGTTTTGGACATTCTTTGGGTATTCTTCTCAGACAGACATTCATAGTCTGCAAACATTGACTGTTTTACCTCCACTTTTTCAATTTTTATGCTCTGTGTTTTTTTGTTTATTGATGTACTGCACTATGTAAGGCTATTGGGCAGATGATTCTTTGTCAATTTTTGTTGATATGCTTATTACATTAAATGATTTTTGAATGTTTGGTTAATAACATATACTTGGGTTTAAATCACACCTAATCATTTAATATTATCCTTAAAAATATTTTTATAAAATGATGGCTTCAGTTTGCTAATAATTTAATAAGGATTTCTATTCCTATATCACAAGGAATATTGTTTAATTTACAGTGTCATATGTTAGTATCAGCATTTTTCTGGTTGAATGAAAGGGTTGATATAATTTGGGACTTTATTATTTTTACTTAATTGTTTGATCAAATTCACCAGTAATCTGAAGGTCTCCTTGAGGAAAGTTTCCTTGTAGGAAGGTTTCTATAGGATAAAATCAATATGTTATTAAATTTTAGTTCAGTGAAATTCTGAATTTCATCTCATGTCAGATGGGGTTAGTTTTTCCTCAATAAATTCATTCATTTCATCTAAATTATTGAATTTATTGGTAAGAAGTTGCCTGTTACACTTTTTTATTTTATTTCATGTATTACAGGTTTGCAACAAAGGAACAGAAGATAATGTGTAGTACTGGGGGGCGGCAAGTAGAGTGTCACAACTTTTGTAATTTGTGTTCTCTTTATTGAAAAAAGAATTGATCATCCATGGCTTTATTTGATTTTCTAGCTATGCAACTGAAACTTTTAACAGAAGTAGGTAAAAAGCAAATAACGGAAAACTTTATAAACCATGCCAAGTAGTTTCATTCTCAACATCCCTCCAAGGCCCATGTGTTAAAAATGTTTGGTCCTCAGCATGGTGCTACCGGAAGTTGATGGGAACTCAGCTCAGGTCCTAGGGAGTGTCCTGAAAGCGAACTGTGGAATGTTCACCTTTTCCTCTCCTGTTTTCACACATGGCCATGAGGCAAATGGACACCATTCCTCGTATGTTCCTGCCATAAAGAATTGTGCTGCCAAAGGCACTAAGCAACGCAGCCATTGATCATGGACTGCAATTTCCAAACTGGAAGTCAAAACAAACCTTCTGTATTTTAAAATTGATTGTTGAGCAGAGGTTGTCACTCAGTGATAGAGCTGTTACCTTGCTTGTACAAGGCCCTGGGTTTGCCCTGGGTTTGGTCACCAGCACCACACACACACACACACACACACACACACACACACACACACTGATTATCGATTATCTCAGGTATTTGTTGCCATCATAGAAAGCTGACTAATACTTCATGTCAAGGAGTTTGGATTTTATTCTCATAATGGAAATACATTGCCTCTAATGCATTATTACCTAATGTAATATTTGTTTATTTAAGTATCAGTAACAGTATGTTTTTAAGTTATTTACTGGTAATGTTTATTCTTTACTTACTCTTTAACTCGTTACAAACCAAGACTAGAAATGCTTGGAGCAATGTACTCCAAGATAAAACAAAGTAATTGAGTACACTGGAAAAAAAATAATAAAGTAGAGCTGGAAAACAAAAGGTCAACCTAAAGCAAAACAAAACATCTTCAACTGCATACTTTAACCTTAGAAGGTACATTTGCTACAAATTGTATCTGAGCGTCTAGAAACTAGAACAGTTTGAATACTCTTGTTGCCCAGCTCTGAATAAAAGCCCTTCACAGTATTACCAGCCCACCACTTACAGTATTCCCCACTGGGATTCACACAATGGAGAATACATGTGCTGGTTTTATTGTGGTAACTTTTCAGAAACTTTGATTTCTGATCACTTAACCTTTCCAGGTAAGGAGAAAAAAATAGACATTTGACCATTGCCTATTGTCTTTACCCATTGTGCTGCTATTGCAAAATGCCGTAGACTGAGTGACTTATAAACAATAGAAATTTATTTCTTACAGATTGGAGGCTGGGATGGCCAAGCTCAAGGTACTAAAAGATACGGTGTCTGGGAGTTGAATTTAACATGAACTATTCAAACCATCGCCTGTGTCTATTTAACCAGGGCAACCAACCAAAGCAAATAATTCAAGCCAAAAATCCACTTTCTCTTTAGTTGAATGAGTCCAGCTTTAAATGAATTGATCTCCTGTTAGGAGCAATGGGTTTCCACAGGAAAACAAACAGCAGTAAGGAGAAAGTCTCTATTTCCTGAGCATCACATTCATTTTACAGATGCAATTTTTACAATTTTTCATGCCTTAACTTCACACTGCTTCTTCACTTGCTTTACACTGGTTGTGTCCATCTGCATACAACTTTAACGTTTCAGAGAAGCCAAAATTTTTACAAAAGAACTATTCAGGGCAGGAAAATAAGCCATTGAAAGGAACTTCCAAATGTTCCCATATTATCAATTTCATTATGTGCACCTATGTACTGAGTAATGTGTGACATTCTTCCCAAGTGTATTTTAAGGGGTGTTTGTTAAAAGCGTGTCAGCTAAATTACTTCTGGTATGTCACTTCTAATGGTGTCATTCACACGTTGTGCAACATACAACTCCAGTCTTAATTCTTTCCAAAAAATAGGTCGTTGCAAAACTGCAAATTTGTGATGGGGAGACTAGGATGGGAAGAAAGGAAAAGAAGAAACCAATCTCTCTCTCTCTCTCTCTCTCTCTCTCTCTCTCTCTCTCTCTCTCTCTCTGTCTCTGTCTCTCTCTGTCTCTCTCTCAGCATGATAGGGATAAACAATGTAAGGTAGGAAGGCTGAGCCCTTTTTAATAGTTACTTTGGGGCATGCTAATCCCAGTTAAATAAAAACGATGAATTATTTTAAAATTGGGCTACAGGCTTGCTCTCTACTGTACCAGGATAGCGCTGGTGCTCTCAAATTAGTCTAATTGTGCGGCAGCGAGCCGTACTCTTTGATTTCTCACATTATAATGCAAAACAACCGTGATTGCTTGACTTTTTCTTTTTTCAGTTACGAAAGACTTGTGTTTGATACAATGATGAAAGGCACTGAATTTATCATTACTGTTGCTACCGTTAGTAACAAGCACGGGTGTGGGTGTGTTGGAAGCTGCACACCTACTCTCGCAAATGTGTCGCGACCTGCAGGGGAGCGGTGCTCCCAGCGCCTGCAGCAGCTGCACCCGCTGGGCTCCAGCGAGGTCTGTCTCCTGCCCTCCGGACCTGGGGTCGCTCTGGCGAAGAGCGAGGTGGCGCCCTCTTTGTACTCTCGGGCAAAAGAAAAGCACCCGGGGCGTTCTCTCTCACTTTTGGGGGGGACCTTCTCTCTCTCCCGCCTTCTGGGCTAGGGATGTGTGCCCTGCCCTGTGACCTTTCCCTTCCTGGAGCGGAGCACTGAGAACACCCCGCCGTCACCTTCGCGCGCGCCCGGGGCGCTGGTTCGGCACACAGCGCACCCCAGCGGCCGCCTGGCTCCCCGTCCTGCGGCCACCGGGCTTCCGGAGAGCTCACAGTGGCCTCCGCGGTGGCTTCGGAGCCAGGGGCTTCGCGAGCCTGCGAGAGCCGGTCTTGGCCGGACCCCCGGAAGGCGTGGGACCGCTTCGCCCGGCCCCGCCCGCCACACCTGGGAGCCAGCACCGCCGCGGGGCGGGGCGGAGCGGGCTGGGGCGGCAGCCTGCCCCGCTGCAGCGGCGAAGGGGAGGGTCTCGGGCAGCGTCCCGCTCCTCCGAGGGAGGGACCCCAGCTGGGGTGGAAACCAGCCGCCGCGAGCCGCGGAGACGCGCCCGGTGACCATGGACCCGGCTGGCCCCAGCCCCGAGCGGCCGCAGCGGGACCAGGACTCGGTCGAAGCGTGGCTGGACGATCACTGGGACTTTACCTTCTCTTACTTTGTTAGAAAAGCCACCAGGTAAGAAGAGGACCCACAGAAGACCCGGCCGGGGCACGGAGAGTGACCTGGCGTGCTCTCGCTCCCCGATCGAATTTCCCCTGGCTCACCCTGAAACCACCCCTGTCCCCAGGCCCTTGGCTTTTGAGATAGGTCCTGGGTCCTGTTACCGCCTAGAGAGTCCCTGACTTTTAAGTGAGCAGTCAAAACCCTCACGCTCCAAATTCGAGCTAACTTTGCTCCCAAAGTTAAAATACAAAACTCTGCGGGCGCCCCCGCTGCTCCCCGGGAGCGAGCTCGTGCCCGCATCCGCGCCCGCGGGCCCCCCTCCAGCCCCTCGTGCCCTCCCGGTCCTCGTAAACCCTCTCAGCAAAACCAAAACAGTTTCGAGCCCCTTCGCCGCCGCTCCGGAAGCACCGTGGCCAACGCGGTCCCGGCGGCTCCGCTCCTCCCCCGTCCCCCCTCGCCCCGGCCCTGGCGGGGCGGGGAAGCCGGGGTAGGGACCAGCCCGCGAGGGAGCCCCAAGCTGCAACATGCCGGAGACTTTCCCAAGTGAGTGCGGTCGCCTTGCCCCCGGCCGCTCCCCCGATCCACCCGCGCGCGCCCTTTCTGCGCTTTCTCGCCCGAGCCTGAGCCGCCGCGGGGCGGGGGGCGCTGGGTTCGCGGCGCGCACACAAAGGCGCGCGGGAGGCGTCGCGGCTGGCGGATCCCGGGGGGCTGGCGGGTCGCGCGCGGCTGCCGAGACCCCAGAGGCCGCTCCTCCTGGTCGGAAGCCAAGCTCGGGGCGGCGGCCGGGAGGGCGGGGAGAGGGGAGCCTGGCCTCTGGGAGGCGGCTGCACAGCGCAGCCGGGCGCGCGTGGGAAACGCTCGCGCAGAGTCGGAGGAGAAACTGAGACTGGCGCGGCGGGACCAGGAGGGTGGCGCGCAGAGCGCGCGGCGCGAGGGCTCCCCGAAACTGGAGGAGCTGGTGCGAAGCCGCGCTCTGAGGGGGAAGGGGCCCGGGCCCCGGAGCCGCCAACTTGGGGCAGCGGCTGTCAGGCAGCTGGTGCTGGCCGCCAGGGCCGGCCGGGGATGGTGGAGGCGCCGGCGCGGACTCTGCCGGGCGCACCCCGCCAGGGGGCGACGCAGCGCGGGGCCGGCGGGCGGCCGGCGGTGGCGGCGTGGCCGCGGGGACCCTAGGGGAGCCTGCTCCCAGCCCAGGCCTCACCTGGGCGCGTCGTCGCCCCCTGCGAGCCTCCAGAAGTCCAAGATCGGCGGAGCGGGGACGCGAACTCCCCACGTTTGCTATGTTGCCTTTTGGAGACAAAACGAGGTACTTTATTCAGCACTCTCCTCCCCACTGGGGGCGCGGGGACCCGATAGTGGGGTGCTGGCGCACAGGTTACTCTGGCAAGACGATGCCTCACGGACCATAGACTGTGGCTTTCTGTCTTCCATTACTGCCTTTCAGATGTATTTTGGGGGTTTTAGGTTGGGCCCTTTTAATATGGTTTTACTGATGAGAGTTGGTGTAGATTTAATCCCTTTGAGGGTTTTTTGTTTTTATTTTATTTTATTTTATTTTATTTCTTTTTTGATAGAGGCCATAGCTCTGGGACACATGTTATACTTTTTTACTTAAAGATCCTGTCCTTCTTTGAAAATCTCTTTTCCTAATCTGTTCAAATCCTAAATCTGGAGGTTCTGAGGATAACCCTCAAAGAGAAGTGGTTACTTTTTAAACAGCACTTTTCTGCGTGTTGGAGTGAGGTACTAGGGCCCCGTGGGCTTAGAATTATTGATTGCTGCTGCGTGTCAACAATTTCGGGGTCACCTGTTACTCCAGGCCATAGCTTCCCCAGGGCTTTCTCTTCTGCAGACTTCCACCTCGCTGCCTCCTGCCTCCATTGAATTAGAGCTCAGAGAATCGGGAGGGCGGGAGAGTCAGGCTGGTTTTCCAGTGTGTGTTGGAATGTTCCTGAGATAGATTATTAACAGGTAAAGGAATAAAGTTAGTTTGTCTAGTCAAGATAAATGGCCTTTTCTTTATTTTCCTTCTTTAAAGAGGTAAATTTCCCTCTTTAAAGATGATTTGGTGGTAGTTCTAAACTGTCATAGATAAGCACTCTTTGCTGCCTGATCCTAGGAAAACTTTCAAAGTGTACCAGAGTATTATTGGAAAATAAATTGGAAAAGTTACATTTCTTTCCCCAGTACAGTTTCACACATATAAAACAGGACTAAAATCACAGTTTTTAAAATTAAAACACTTACTGTAAAATTTAGATCATCTGAGAGCCCAAAGATTTTATCGTAAGGGTTTTTATAGGACAGTTGATGTTGGCTGTAGGTTGAACACTTTATGCCTGCCTCTGTGTATGTGTGAATAGTTGATGTGGAGTATAAATTGAAAAACGAAAGTGTAAAATACATAAGCGCCTTCAATTTTAAGAGTTATAAAATGCTCAGAGCTGTCAGTGTAAACCATAAGAAGAACTTTTGTACAGCTAGAGGTTTTTCAAGAAAAAAATCTGAGTTTGGCTTTATAGTTAGTGGCATTAACTGGAGACTTTTAAAATAAAAATAAGAAGTTGACATCAGTTGATTGTAAAACTGCCAAACTACTAATCTCAGTGTGGCTCATGTTAGTCTGATAAAAATGTGTTGCTTACATTTTAACTTTACAGCTAAGGTGTTTTTATTAATTAGAAGCTCAACATCACTTGGTTATGTTTTTCTAAGTATAAAATGAATACTGCGTATGGTTGAGAAAATCCATGAAACAGTATTTCTATAGAGGTATGTGGAACATTTTAAGATTTAAAACAGATTTAGGTTCATTCAGTTTTTCCATTTGCACAGGCAGTCAACTATTTCTGCATCATTTAATTGTTGTCATTTGACATTTATGCGTGCCTCTCTGTCCTATCCTGAGACCAAATGATCTGCTTTTAATGGTAGTCCCCGAATGAAATAAAGGTTCTGGCATTCCTAAGTTCTCAAACACCAGTAGATTTCTATTGAACTTGAAAATGCCTGTGCAACTGTAGTGTATTTTTATCGGTACCAGGGATCGAACTCACGACGGTACCAGGGATCGAACTCACGACTGCAAGCAGGCAGTCGTGAGTTCGATCCCTGGTACCGATAAAAACGAAAAAGACAAAAAAAAAAAAAAAAAAAAAAAAAAGAAAATGCCTGTGCAACTGTAGTGTACTATTTTCTCTATCTTCAAATACAAGCAAAGCACCTCATTAAAAGCTATAGCTTACAGTATATAAATAGGTGCTTTTTAGTAATCACGACTTCTTTGTGTGAATTTGAGGGTGTCAGTGGAACAGATCAAACAAATTATTGGCATAAAAGTTGTTTTGAATCTAGCAATTGCACGGGGTAGGTAGGAGGACCTCTGCTCTTATTGCTGAACACAGCTTGCAGGCCTGAGAGCCTGTGTTAATTGGGGGCTGTAATATGCATGCATTGCCAAAGGAAGCCCTCTTGGTGCTAATGCCACTTAACAGCTGTTGTTATTCTTGACAGCATATTAGAATAATGTTACCTTTCATTAGTTACTAATCAGCTCTATGATTGTGGTAATGTTTTAGGTTATTTAGTATTGAAGAGGTGACATATTTGACTTTTTATTGCCTTGTTTTGTACCAAGCAAAAGCTTGAGAATATTTGGCTTGTAATGGAAATAGGAGATATTAAATGAGGGCAAGTTTTATGACAGGTTGGATCGAAGTCCAGAAACAGAAGTTTTACACATTTCCCGTAGCTTTCTATGTAGACTTTTTGTTTGGCACTGCAATGCTGTGCTGAATGAGTTGTTTCCAGTTCCTGTGTTTGGAATTCTTTCTTTTTCTTTTGTCATTCTTTTCTCTTTTCTAAAAGCTGTAGCATTTATATTTAGAAGGTATTTACATTCAGTTTAACTGATGGGTATAAAATAAGTATTTTGCTTCATTCTTAAACACTATTGGTTCTAGAATTACATGGAAATACAAACTTTTTCACAGTTTTCAAATGATTTGTTAAATGTATTTTGTTAGGCAGTGGCCAGTATTGAAGATAATAAGACTGGAACACTGGCCCAGCCTAACTTTGATGTTATTTATAATATTATAGGATGGTAACATTGGGGCAATTATAGCCCTTTTTCCTTGTACTGTTTGTAACTAGGTTCCTCATAGCCAGCCCTAAGCTGCCTTTGAATGTTCTCCAGGAATGTTTGTGGGTTGATTTCATTCTGCCTAGGGCATCCATAGGAGCCTTTAAATGTTGGTTCTCAGTGCCCTTCTGACTCTGGTGTTTTCAAAGTTCTAGACTCAGGCTCATTTTAGGGCCTGGGTTGCATGATCTCGCTTCCTGATACTGTTGTGGATTGAATGAATGAAAACTAGTGAAATTAGTGTCTTAAAATAAATTGATGTGTTTAGTATAACACAAACTTAACTAAGCTTATTGTAAAACTAAGCAGCTTTTTTAGTGTATGATCTGAAGACCTGTTTGCCTGTACTTTCATGAGTTCATGTCCACAGCACTTTAAGATGAGGCAATATTCAGCATCTTGATTGTACTAAGCAAACATTTTACCTAAATAGTTTATTTCTCTCATCTCTAATGGTATTTTTTTCAGAATATTTGAGACATTTTCCAGATTGTATGAAGGTTGTACTTTTACCCTTTATCTACTTGCAGAGAATGAATCTTGCCAAACTGCACCCATTCTTCTAGATTTGAGAATGCTAATTAGTTTAGAGCTTTGCTCAAACTGCCTAGTGCTTTTCATCACGCTCTGAAATCTTTTAAAATTGGAATAGCTAAGCAGAACCATATGGTATTTATCAGTTTATATCCCAAACATTTCAACCTAATAATTTACTAAACCTAACTGGTATGAAATGTATATTTTTTTTTCTCAAAAATGATGGTGGGGTAAGATCCTCTTTCTAGGATGAAAAGCCTTTAATCAGGACTGTAGAACAATTAAATAAAATCAATGACTTGATTCGCAGTGGAGGCTGAAAAATGACTAATTT